TAAACTTGATTAATAACGTAGAGTCAAAGTTAAGATAACTATAAGTAATAAAGATAAGTTAATTATATACTACGGGTTTCATATTTTCTCATTTTCGTTAAATGTGAAACCGACTGTGCCTATACCTATCGGTTTTTATTGAAGTTATTTTTTGGCGAAATATGCATTTATTTATTATTTTTTGGCTAAATATGCAATTATTCATAAAAATCCCTAAATATGCAAAATAAAATTGAATGCATCTGATTCTATGTCGCACAAAACGAATTTATAACTTGGTCTGCAATGTGCACGACTAAAAGAAAAAATATGCAAAAGTCATAAATATCCTAACCCTAGTAATTACCCTGTGACCTACTCGAGGTRGTGYTGCATAGCAAGTCGAGGGATATTTTCGATTTGCGGAGCGGAGCRACGGCGCCGAGSAGCGYAGCGACGAGTGCCGCAAAACGTGTGATCACTGTTCATACTACGACATAACTTTGATTAGTTATAACTAGGTAAATCGACGTTTTAAAAATGATGGTGCCAAAAATATATATAAATATATTTGTGTAACAGATATTCCCAGTTACGGGATAACTAGGCGGATAACTTATTATTAAAACAACATCAAAAGATATTAAGATAAAAATTGTAGGTCATAAACTCTTACCTRTCTAATGTTTCGGTCGGGCTTGAAATCATCGTAATTGGCACTCGGCAGTATGCGGTATGCATTATTTGTGAAACATGTGTCTTAATCTTTTAAATATTGTTGAATTTTTCTCGTGCAAAACAAACGGGCCCGTTAGTATCGAAGTACTAGAAAAACTTCAAGAGTGGAATCTAATAAGTAAAAATAATACATTAAAGTGTAACGAAGGGCATATTCTTCATTTATGTCCCTTGAATAGTGCTATCGATGGATTTGTATGGCGATGTCGAGAAAAAAAATAAAAGGTCTTCGAGATGCGAATTTTTTCAATCGATTCGCAAACATACTTTTTTTTAATCTCATCTGTCCCTTTTTCAAATAGTGGCATTTTCTTATTTGTGGCTTAAACATGTTTCACTATCTTTTATAATGGAGCAAAATCGTTATCGGTCGTGTTATTATCTACACTCGCTCCTGAATTCAACGGTGTTTTCAGAATTGTGATATCACTAGTATTCAAGGAGATATTAAATGTTATTTATTTCGAACCTCTTAGTGGTTCTCAAACATGGAACTATAATATCATATATTATTGAATTCCTCATATATTTTTGTGTTTACGTGATATTTATAGCATTTTACTTTCATTGTGATATTACTGTTGTTTYAATTACTTGTTGTTACGACTGTTACGTACATATTGTCAACATTTGGTTTAAAATCATATATTTTATTATTTATTTAATTTTTAATCTGCTAAAATGTCCAAAAAATCTCTAACTGAAGATGAAATTGTAAATGAGCTAAATGAATTTTACGCCAATTCAGAATCTGAAGACGAGTTCGACATAGGAGAAACAGACGAAGCTCTCGAAGATTTTGAAATTGAACCTCAAGTACAAGGTGAGATTGGAAATTTATTCAAAATATTTACTGTAATATTTTAACAAATGTAACTTATAAAACAGTTTGTGTTCTAAAGTGTTTTTATTGTATTATAGTATTTCAAAATATTGATATTGATGAAGCTCTCAATAATTTTGAATTTGATAACTTTGAAGACTTATGTAACTATAATAAATTATGTCAATTATAATATATTTTTACTATTTCATAAGAATTTTTATGTGATGCTGTATGGTATGTATTGCTTACAGTTAATACTTCTCCTTTAAACTCTTCACCATTACAACCTGGTGAACATTTTCAAGATGATTCAGAAGAAAATGGTAAGTAATAAGTCTTTATAATTTGTATTATTCTTATAAAGCTAATAATTTAGCTATAATTTGTATAGTCTTCTATAAATATTATAATAGTCTTACTGTTCAATTTTGTCTAGTATTGTAGGTATATAAATTATATTATATTTTTCAATTATATCTCAACCTATTTTAGATTTGCCTGTTAGTCAATCATCACCAGAAATATGCACTAGAAATGTACCTAGAAAAAAGGTGCCTTCATCTGATATTCCAAAACCATTTGGTCCACTGAAATGGAAAAAGAGAGCTATTAATTTTAAACCAAAAATCCATCCATTTACTCAAAATAAGGTAATTTAATTTTTTTTCGATATAGGTACCAGTTATTTTATTCCATTAAATCTAATATCTTAGGCTGGAATACAGAAAAAAGAATTTGGTTTAAATGAAAGTTCTCCAATGTTGGACTTTTTTGAAGCATTCATAACACCAAATCTCATGGGAAAGATTGTATTTGAAACCAATCGATATGCACAACAACAAACTTTTTCAGAACACTTTAAGTTTAACTAAATGGAAGGATACATCAATTGGTGAAATGTATGTGTTTTTAGAAATTAATATGTTGATGGCTAGGAATAAAAAATTAACAATTCAAGATTATTGGTCTACTAATGAACTTTTGCATCAAAATATATTTGGGAAATTAATGAGTAGAGATAGATATTTGTTACTCCTACGATTAATTCATTTTTGTGATAATAACCAACAAATCCATGGTGAACGGCTTTATAAAATACAAATGGTGATATCTGAAGTTCAAAAAAATTTTAAAGATGCTCTTATTCCTTTTTCTAACTTAGCTATTGATGAAAGCTTACTTTTATGGAAGGGACGTTTGTCTTTTAAGCAATATATAAAATCAAAAAGACATAGATTTGGAATAAAATTATACATTTTATGTGATTGTGAAACTGATTTTATTTTAAATTTCTCCATATACACAGGTGCTAGTAATTATAAAGACCCTTTAGAAGACCAATTAGGGAAATCTGGAGTTATAGTAAAGAAACTTATAAAACCATATTTTTACCACGGTTATTCATTATATACTGATAACTTTTCCACTTCACCATCCTTAGCAATGTATTTACATTAAAAAATAAAATAAACTCTTGTGGAACAGTTAGGAAAAATAGAAAATTAATGCCAGATATACATTCAAAATTAAAACTATGAGAAAGGGAATCAATGTGCACTAATAAACTATTAGCTGTACAMTGGAAAGATCGCAGAGATGTGTACATGTTGACAACTATGCATAAAKATACAATGGTAACCACAAAAAAAATTGATAGAGCTACTGGAGATAAATATCTAAAACCAGAGTGTGTGATAAGCTACAATGCTAATATGGGTGCTATTGATAAATCAGTCATGCTTTTAAGTTCAATCGAATGTGTACGCCGTACCATGAAGTGGTACAAAAAATTGTTTTTTCATATAGTTGATATATCTCTACTGAATGCATATTCAGCTTATAAAACGGTGACAAGAAAACATATTTCATTAGCTGACTTTCAATTGCAATTAATTAATGAACTGATATTAAAATATCAATGTGAAGCTAGCATGACAACTAATAGGAGAAAAAACCAATGGACACTACACAAAAGCGCTTACAACAAGGCGCTAGTCACTTTCCAGAGTTGGTGCCACTTACACCATCAAAAAAACAAGGAAGACGATATTGTTTTGTTTGCAGTCACAAGAAGGAAAACAAAAAAAGAAAAGATTCCATTTACTGCTGTATTGAATGTGATGTTGGTTTATGTGTTACCCCCTGTTTTAAAGTTTACCACACACAAAAAGAATTTAAAAAAAAAAATATTACTTATAATATTTTAAAAGTACTATTATTGTTTCCTTTGTATTATTTTATTTATGTATTGTTTTTATTGTAATTTTACAAGGTTATACAGTCAAGTTCAATGATTTTATTTTGTTATTATTATCTTATTTTAAATACTTATGTTTATGTATTTTATTCTGTTTTATTTTATTTATGAAATTGGTTATTTTGTATTTTTATTTAATTAATAATTTGATTACTACAAGTTAAATATTTGTGTATATTATCATCAATTTAATTTATCATTAGCTCAAATTAAATGAAGTAAAAAAATCAATGTTGAAAAGTTTATCCATACCATACACTGTATTATAATGTTATGTTGTGACGTTAAAGTTAGCGTATTGCACAAGTTTGGAAACCCATGACTGCCAAATTTACATTTAGCTGTAACTCTGTAAGTTTTTGTTCAACATTTTTTTTTTAAATTTTCTCATTTTCAAAATGTCCAAATCTTACAGTATAAAGTGATAACATTTTTTTATTTTTTTTTCAAAAATCTTCAGTACAGGACACGTACTTATGATTTTAGTACATAGCAGTGAAAGGGTTAATTATATGCATTTTAAAAGTTTCATTATTTCAAAACTAATTATAATAAACATAAGTCCCCCTTTTTTAAAAAACAAATTAAGTTCAAAAAATTCAAAATTTAGGAATTTTCGAATTTCAAATCGTTATAACTCAAAAACTAAGTGTTAGCGCAATTTTTTTTGGCACCATCATTTTTAGAACGTCGATTTACCTAGGTTTCGAAAAAAAAATTGAAAAAATCACATGGTAGCTAAACTGCAATTGTTCCAAACTTTTTGTAAGTCGAAAAAAACACTGGTTCCTGTTATATTATAATAGTTCGATACTTTGATGCGGTTATTTTATTATTAGCCACTAACTTTTACAGTTTTTTACGTTTTGAGTTGTTTTCCATTGTTGAGACAGGTAAAAATCATTACAGAGTGATATATTATGAACATTGTATAATGTATATTAGATATTTGATACAATGGTCAATGGTGAATGGGTCACCAAATAAATCATAGATACACTTGTCACTTACCTATGTTATATGTTGCAGGTATTATAGGTACACCGTTTATACGCGAGGAGTATTACGTAAATATTAATCAATTAAATTAATAATTAATTATGTAACAATCAATGATTTAACAATGTTATTTTAAGAATTCCAGAGTATACCTACCAATCCTGACCTAATTTGTTCTAATATGTTAATAGTTAATACGGCTGAAT